TCTCTATGGGCTGCCAACATGGCTCAGTAGTAAAAGTACTTGCTGTGCAAGGCTGACAACCTGAGTTCAATCCCTGGAGCCTACAACAGTGGAAAGAGAGGACTAACTCCAGAAACTTGTCCTCTGACCTCTACATGTGTGCCCTTCCCTCTATGATAATCAGAAAATGAAATAATTTTTTAAAATTTTTATTAGACACATAATAGATCAGTGTTGATATGTGGGATGCTCAGATGTGGTCCCGCCTTACAGGACTTGTAGTTCTTCATTGCAGACCAATGACGTGGATGTCCTTGACACAGCTTTCGTTCCAACAGTAGCTGTGTTTAAAATGGTCAGCTGTGTTGTGAGTATATTTAGCTTATGTTAAATGCCCCTTAGAGAGTGAACATCATCTGTTTTCAGTTTGTGTTTGCGAGTATGGTACATTTTTTCCAGATGAATAAATACTAAGCCTTTTCCACTTCCTGAGGAAAGTTAGGGATGGATTTTGAAGTACAAATTATCAAACATTAAATCAAATAATGCAGTGTAAAGCACTTCTGAATCTGTATACAGTAACTTGTTGAAATGTACTGCTAAAAGAAAATGGTAGGTTTGGCGTTAAAAAAACAAAAAACAAAAAACAAAAACTGAAAACAAAATGTGACGGACCAGAAACTTCTATTCACTGTCAGCATGAATGGATGGTGTGGCTGACAGGATGGTTAGAAATAAAGGTTATGTGGTGCTATATCTACACAACACCACCTTATAATATTTAACACTTTTCCAAGTTGCTTTTATTCAGATGCTCTCATGCTTTTATATCTTCAAGAGCAATGTGAAAAACAAAATAGAAAGTATTTTAAACATTATCACTATTATAAAGGGCTTTACTCTAAGCTACTGAAAAGGCAAATTAGGCCAGTTATGCTTACTTGTTTCTTCGCAAGCTATAAACTTCCTGATAGAGGTCTTAAAGGCAAAGTTAAGACCAACTTGAAGTAGATTTAGGGTGATTACACATTCCTTTCTGTGTGTCCACAGCTAATGGAGATGCATGATTGCTCCAAGATCATCTTCCATCCCTGCTAACAAGATGAGGTTAGACCCCTAGATTTCCTGACTACTATAGTCCTGTGTTTGTCCTTCCTTATCTTCTTTTCCACAGCCATAATGTAAATTAGCAAGACACATATGTACTGTGTTTTGAATGTGAAATGTGCTGTGTTTTGAATGTTCTGCCCTGGGCTCATGTTTTTGAACACTCAGTGCCAAGATGGTGGTGATGTGTGGGGAGACAGTGGAACCTTTAGGACAGTGGTCTAGCTAGCAGAAGTAGGTTGCTGGAGGTAAAAGGTGATATCTCTTCTGTTTTTGTCCTGAGCTCTCTGTTTCCTGATCAGCTAAGATGTGAGCAACTGATTCTCACACTCCCATCTCCATGATTGATACCTCTGCCCCAGCCTCTCTACCTTACCTGCCCAAGTGCACTGTGTACTTTGAAGCTATGAGCCAAAATAAATCTTTCCTCCATCAAGTTGTTTCTGTTAGGTTTTTTCTTTTTCTTTTTGAGACAGTGTCTTCTATAGCCCCAGCTGGTCTGAAACCCACTACATAGATAGATCAGACTGGCTTCAATATTATATAGATCCTCCTGTCCCTGCCTCCAGAGTGCTGGGATTAAAGGCATGCCCCACCATGCCTGGCTCTGTTAGGCATTTTGTCACAATGATGAGAAAAGTAACTAACACAGTATGTAATTGTCTAACTCCATCATGTTACTATAAGAAAATACCATAAACTGGGCAGTATGTGAAAATTTATTTTGAATATTTCTGGAGACTGGGAAGTTCAAGGAACTGTCAATTTTGGTGTCTGGTGGGGGCCGCTGTTTGTCCTTGAATACTGTGGCCTCCCTGGGAAAAAAGAGACAGTATGCAATGTGAATTCTCTTTTGTAAGGACAAGGACCTTAATCCCCCTTAGGAGGGAGAGGTCCTCATGATACAGTCATCTCTGAAATGCCCCACTCATGTTCTATTGCATTAGAGATGAAGTGTCCTTATAAATTTTAGAGTACTATGTGTGTGTATGTTTCTCTCTCTGTGTGTGTGTCTGTCTGTCTCTGTCTCTGTCTCTCTCTTTCTCTCTCTGTAAATCAGAGGACAACCTATAAAAGTTTGTTCTCCCTTATCATGTTGGTCCCAGGGATTGAATTCAAGTTGTCAGGCATGGTGGCAAACACATTTACTCACTAAGCCACCTCTCCAGGCCTCTTTTCGGATATGTTTTAATGAAGACAACTATTTGTAAAAAATGAAATCTTGGGCCAGGCATGGTGGTGCACGCCTTTAATCCCAGCACTTGGGAGGCAGAGGCAGGTGGATCTCTGTGAGTCCAACACCAGCCTGTTCTACATAGTGAGTTCCAGGACAGCTGGGGCTACAAGGAGACAGTGAGTTGCAAGCTAGCTGTGGCTACAGGGGAAACCCTGACTCAAAAATACATACATACGGGGCTGAGAGATGACTCAGCAGTTAAGAACACTGAATGTTCTTGCAGAGACCCAGGTTCAAATCCCAGCACCCACATGGCAGCTAACAACTGTCTGTAACTCCAGTTCCAGGGGATCTGACAGCCTCTTCTGTCCCCCGAAGGCATTGCACGACATGGGTACACTTACCCATGTGCAGGCAACGTACACATACACATAAAATAAAAATAATAATAAAATATTTTGTACTTGTCAACTATGTCATTTTTACCAGTCCACATTGTTCTCATTCCCCCTCCTCACGTTTTCTCATTAGTAGCTGAGAAAAGAAACGTGGTAAGTTAAAGGTGTGCTTCACCTCACTTCTGTGGGTAGATTTTGGAAACTTGTCCAGAGGCACAGAGAGCAGACAGAATTCTCCTGGTCTTGTGTTGATGGCTTATCCTTCAGCTTGGTCTTTTATGAGCTGTCGGGTGTGATGCAGAAGAAAGCATGGGCATCCACACAGGGCAGCTCACTCTGTCCCCTTGCCACTTCAAACACCTCCCCACACCACCATAAATTCTTAATGTCTAAAATGGAGTTAACTACATATATTTTAAAATGCAAAAAACCATGGATTTACTTTGCCCCATTTCCACATCTTCAAATGAAAAATCTTAGAGTGTCATTCTTAAAGTTATAATATGTTTGAAAGTCAACAAGGTTACTTTGAGTTGAAGGACAATATATAAAAGCCATCTAATAGATTTTTTTCATTTACAAATTGTGCTTGGAAAGATGATATCTTTTTAAACTAAACTTTTCAATATCTATTAAATGTTTACATTATGAGTAAGAAAAGACATGAGTCTGTTTTGAATCAGAATTTTTGAATTGCTGAAACTTAAAATAATAGCTATCATTTCTGGAACAGTTCAATTACTTGTTTGAGTCCCTTACCACTGAAATATGTTGTCTCTATTCTATATTTAAAAAGATAACTTGTTAACTGTTTGATAAAGATTCTGGTTCTGTTGTAACTGTATCCAGGTCTCTGCTGAAGGCTCAGAGGACTAGGAGTCCCTGCCATATTGAAAGAGATGCACTTGGCAATGTTTGGGTGCGTTACCAAATACACACACTAGTAGTTTCCTTTTTTTCTGCATGTCAGTTGAGCTACCTTTTCAAGTTGAATTATTACAATTGATGTTTTAATTTAAAAATGGAAGGATGTTTAGAAATAAAAATAATTGTACAGTCCTTAGAATATTTATCCCTGATAGAAGTAACACTGATGCTTAATAATTCAATGATATGAGTTGATATTTTAAAAGCAGATCTCCCCAGAGGGATTTGGCCCTCTTGATAGCTTTAAAATGATATTATAGAGATCAATTAAATAGTCTAGACTGGTGGTCCCAGATGTACTAAAATGCCCTTTTCCTCAAAGAGAGGCTATAAACGCTAGACACGTGTCCATTAATGATGGGGCCCATAAACCACATCTTCCTCAAAGCCTTCCCATTAGACAGTGCTTTCAAGCTGCTCACTTGAATCATTCTTTCCTTTTGAGACTCTCCATGTAACCGATAAATTATTCCTACTTTTTGACCGATTTTTAAGCATGTATGTATGCCTGTGTGTCTGTGTGTATGTATGATGTATGTGAATGCAGATTCACCTGTGCCATGTTGTGCCAGTAGAGGTCAGAGGACAACTTTCTGGAGTTGGTTCTCTGCTTCTGCCAGGGGGGATCAAACTCAATTCACCAAGCTTACAGAGCAGGTGTTTTTACCCAATGAGCCATCTCACCAGTCCTTATTGGCTGATGTTTATGTGTTTATGCATGTGTATATATGTATACTATTTGTGTGTGTTTGTGTAAGTGCATGTGTATGTGCACAGGTATATGTTTGTGTATGTGTAATGTGCTTGTGGAGGCCAGAGGACAACCTTGGGTGTCATTCCTCAGGAGACATTCACCTAATTTTTGAGATAGTCTGTCCTTTGGCATACAACTCACTGATTAGGCTAGGCTGGCTGGGCAGTGAGCCCCTGGGATCTGACTTCAAGCATACAAATGTGGCATACAAATGTGTGCCACAACCCTGTAGCTTTTTTATGTGGATTCTGGGGTTCAAACTCAAGATCTCATACTTGGGTGAAAAGCGCTTTACCAACTGAGCCTTGTGGATCAAATCTATTGCAATTTTTTATTGCACAGCAGGGACTCTGTCGGCCAATCCTGTTTTGCATTTGTGGAAGGCTGCTCCTTTGGTGCTTCCTAGAAGCTGAGCAAGAAGACCTGCATTCTTGAGTGCCCCTTCTCCTCAGTGCCCTCTCCTCTTCCAAGAAATGTGTGAATCTTAACAAGAAATCAACCCCAGACTCCCCCTGGCCTCTTTCCTCATGCTAACCCACACTCTTTTTCTAAAAAACATTACTAAGAAAACCAAGCCTCCAATGCCCCACAGCACTGTGAGGAAGAGTCTTTTGAGGTTTTTCCACTAGGTGTTGTAATGTTGCCGTTTTTCTTCCAGATCATCTCAACTTTGGTTTTGTGGAGACACCTGAAAGCAACAGCCATAAAGTAAGTACATATTTAGAAATTTCTCCTTAGTCAGCTGTACATGGAAACCTGGGTTTTGTTCAATGACTTTCACAGAGAGCACTTTGTTCAAATATTTTATCAGTAAGTGGCATGATGAATGGGAGTTTTGTGTAGACACTAAATCCCCTTTAAAAAAAGATAGAACTAATAAATGATCAGAAATGAAATAAGTAAGGCTCATATCATCTCCAGGGGCACACCGCAACAGCCTTCTCTGTCATGTTAAGTTGGGCCACAGGCCAATAAGTATCTCAGATGGCATCAGGCATAACCTATGGCAGAGAGTGTAGCACTTAATGGGCACATATGTATGACAGGTGTTTCCTGGAGAATAAATAGGTAGGCTAATTGATTCATGTGTTGGGAAAGCAGCTCTGTGAGATCCTCCCCATGGTGAGGCAATGTGGAGTGGTGGTTAGTGTACCAAATCTGGATCCAGATGCTTAGGTTCCATTCCTGGCTCTGCCACTTAAACGCTGTTCCCTTTGGGTGCATGTCCACACCTCTCTGTGAGTTGGTTTTCTTGCCCATAAAATGGGCCTAATAATGCTGCCTGGCTTGATGATACCATTATAATAATCAAGTGAGCTCATATTTGCAAAGTGCTTTATATACCACAGTATAGAAAGTAATCTCTTTTAAAAATGTTTGTTAAATTATGTTTTTCTGTTTTCTATTTTTTAATATTTTATTTATTATTTTTATTTTATGTCTATGAGTGTATTGCCTGCATGTGTGTAAGTGCACCTGTGTTGTGCAATACCTGTGGAGGTCAGAAGAGGGCATCAGATCCCCCGGAACTGGAGTTACTGATGGTTGTTAGCAGCCATGTGGGTTCTGGGAATTGAACCTGGGTCCTCTGCAAGAGCAGCCAGTGCTCTTAACCACTGAACCATCTCTTCAGTCTCTCTATTTTCTATTTTTGATTGTTTGAGACAGGGTCTCACTCTGCAGCCCAGGATGGCTTTGAACTCATGGCAATCCACCTGTCTCAGCTTCCCGAGGACTGGGATTTGGGGCATGAGCCACCATATCCAGAAAATTGACATAAATGAAAAGCACAGTAATATCTCTAGGTCTCATGTGGTTTGGTTTAGAAGCAAAGACACCCTAGTAACAAGGAGCACACTGCTGCTTGAATCCTGGTTTCCGATTCTGTTCTCCCTCAAAAGGAAGCAGGGCTCTTTAGAGAAATGGGTAGGAAATGTGCAAATGACTTTTGAGCATTCAGTAGTGTCAGAAACTGAAGAAATGAAAAATGTATAGACGAAATGATGGGGTTGGTGGGGAGGGGTTTGCCAAAGGAATGCGGGAGCCAATTGGTAGTGCTCCCAATGGCTAGAAAAATTTGAGCAACTTAATAAATAAAATAGCATTGAGATATAACCTAAAGTGTAAGAAACAAATCTACACACATATCAATGATTGGATAAACAAATGCATAAATACATACATAAATAAATAAATAAATAAATAAGATGGACACCATGCAGAAGAATTCCAAATAGTGTATAGACAGGAGACAAAGTATAGCTCCCAGAAGGGGCTATACATGGTGAGTCTCTTCCAAAGAATGCAGTGTGGAAGGAAGAAAAAGCAATGGCAAAGCCTGACAAATGCTACTTCAGATAGGAAAGTTTTCTGCTTTGAGGGGGTTGAACCCAGGGCTTTTTTTCATGCTAGGCAAGCTCTCTCCTGACAAATGCCACATCAGCCACAGAATCAAATTTAGCATGAGCAATGACCTGTCATCATAATAGTAGACTTTGTCCTTGTGGCCTTCCTCCCTAGAACATGTTAGCCAAGTCTCATCATGAGAAAGACATAAGAAAAATTCTAATATCTGTCTATTCTAAATATTTGGCCAGTACACTTCAAAACTGTCAGCATCATTAAAGGCAAGTGAAATATGAGAAACTGCCCCAGATAGATGCCTCAGCCAGCTTGATGACCAAATGTAATGTTGTGTCCTGTGTGGGTTTCGGGGACAGAAGCAGGACACAATAGAAAACTCAGGAGGTATGAGGGAAGCATGGAGGTTACTTAGCAATGAAGTTTCAGTATGCTTTATCAATTGTGATGCAGTACCTTACCAATGGAAGAGGTTTAATATTTGGGACACTTAGCTTGGGGTCAACAGGAACTCTCTATGTTTGTAACAATTCTATAAATACATAGTTTACAAAGATTTGAAAACGAAATTTTATTTTTTTAAAAATGAAGTATACCTCTCCCTCAAGTCAACAACAAATAAACAAACCGAGCATTAGTTTGGAGATACATTTTCTAATTTTTATGTACCAAAAAATGTAATTCTGTTTGTGTTTCAAGACTCACACATAAGAGAAGTATATTCGGCAATGAACTTGTGAATTATGTAATGCTCTATAGATTTATGGCACATCCTACTGTGTTTCCATCCTTCTCAGAAGGAGGAACAGCTGGGTGTGATAGAAAGCGTCCATAACCCCAGTATTCAGGAGGCTAAGGCAGGAGGATCTGGTGTTCAAAATCTGTCTAGCTACATAATGATACCCTGTGTAGAAAACAGAAACAAACGATCAAAGAACCCAGGGGAGCAAAACAATTGGCAGAGTAAAAACATTTTTGCAAGAATAGTTATTATTTGAGTGCAGTGGGAATTAAAATTCTACCAGTTACTTTTGCATGACTGTGACCAAATACCAAACAGCTGAAAGAAACACCTTAAGGGAGGAGAGGTTTATTTCAGTTCCTGGTTTCAGAGGGATTGCTACCCATCATGGCAGGGCAGCCACAGCAAAATGCCTCCCTCTGTGGAGGCAGGAGTGTGAGATAGAAATGTTCATCTGGTGTGGATCACGAAGCAGAGAAAGCTAGCTAGAGCCAGGGGTGGTGACCTGCCCCTGGTCTACTTCTTTCAGCTGGGCCTCACATTCTAAAGACTCCACAGCCTTCAAGACAGTGCTCCAAGCTGGAGGCTGAGCGTTCAAAACAGGAGCCTGTGGAACATTTTAGATTCAAACCATAACACAAAACAGTGTGCTTTTGTTGTCTGTTGCTACATAACAAACTACCACAAATATAGAACTTAAAAGGGTTTCCATGGGTTAGTAATCCAGAAGTGGCTAGTTCCAGCTTTGCTGAGGATGTCATGAAAGTGTAAGCCAGGTGTTGACTCCTCCGTTCCTTTATAGAACTTGAGGTTTTTCTTTTAGATCATGTTGGTAGAATTCAGCTGACCTAGACCCTTATTTTCTTTGTGGCTTTTATCTGGATCCACACCCATCTAGGAACTGCCTGCTATTCCTTGCTGTGTTGCATGTCAAAGCCTTAGTACCATGTGACCGCTTACTGTCTCAGTGGCAGCAGAAGACATTCATTATGGTCTGTTAAGACGGAGACTTCTATAGCGAGTGATCCATAAAGAAGTGTTTGTCCAATTGGTATAATCATAACTGACTAGAGGTAAATAACAGTGTGCCTGCACTTCTCAGGCAAGGGCCATACTGGGGCATGACTCAGTGGGGACTGCCTGAGGGTGTGCCCACATGTGCAGGTTTGGGGTATTGGGCTCTCTACCACCAAACCAGCAAAGGGCAGGATGAATGGGAGATGCTTGCTGCTTGCTTTCAAGCAGATTATAGCTAGAGGTAAGTAAATATGTTTCATCTCCTGTCCTCCACAACTTATTCAACAGTTCTCAAAGTTATGGAATAGGAATTGGAATTAGGGGACTGGAGAGATGGCTCAGTGGTTAAGAGCACTGACTGTTCTTGCAGAGGACCTGAGTTCTATTCCCAGCACCCATATGGTGGCTACAACCATCTGTAATTCCAGTTCCAGGGGATCTGATGCCCTCTTCTGACCTCCATGGGTATTGTATGACATAGGTACACTCACACACATGTAAGCAATGCACTCATACACAGAAAATAAAATTAATGAATAAGATTTTTTTAAAAAAGAATTGAGATTATATGAATATCAAGCGGGTCATAAAAAATTTGTACATAGCTCTTAAATACATTACCATTTCCTTGACTAGTATGTTTTTTAGCACATAAATTTGCCCAGAAATATGATCTTAATTCCCTGGGAACAATGTTTATGCATCTTAAGAACTTACTTTGTCAATTGAACTTACTTTGTTCAATTTAATATCATTGCCACTTTTTCATGGCTATTCATTATTAAGGTTATTTAGTTTTTTTATACTTCCATCTTAAAATTCTGTTTGCTAGTAACTAATCAATGGGAGGACACCGTTCAGGTTGTACGTTTCACATTGCACATTCGTATATTTCAGCTGTATTAGGTGCTCATTTTTATAGCTTTCTTATCATGAGGTTCAATTCTGTTCCTCACTAAACCTTTCACACAGAAATACCAGTTTGTTCTGTTGGTACAATCACCACCAGGACTTCATTATTTTTCCAGTTTTTGTCTAGTGGCTCCTTATAAAACCAAACAGTCTCATAAATCCGAACTCTTATTTAGGCATCAGAGTTGCACCTGCCAAGCAGCTGCTTATATTGGAAATAAAGCTCAGGACTCTGGCAGCATCTGGTGGTGGGCTCAGGTCATGTGATCACTGTACCTGTGAGTCTCCACAGAGCTCTCTAGGAGCCTATGAGAGATTTAAACTTGGGGTCTTTGCTATTTAGGCCTCAGATATGCAGCCACCTTGAAGGAGGGGCTAAGGTAAAATGAAAAGGAAACATACATTGCAATGATTCAATTGAGAAATAAGGAGAAAGGATTTCTTGTGGTTTCTCCTCTCTCCTTCCCTTTACTCACTCACACTAAGCCTTAGGCAGTAGATACTGATTCCTTTTATGCCAAATGTTAGAAAGGGTTGTTGTTCTTAGCAGCAGAACCTAATCACCTATAGCTACTGGTAAAATAACTCATTTAGCAGGGAAAGGTCAACTCTTTCTTCCTTCCTTCTTTTTCTCTTTAGGACTTGTTTACTTTGTAGGAATTAAATAAAGGTGTCT